GGAGAAATGTAAAGGGATTAGCGAAGAAATAATGAAAAAACTTAATCCTAAAATTAAAATTAAACATCCAGATTATTTGGATAATAAATGGTCAGTTTCTGATACGCCTCTACATATCCCAATCTTTATTGGTACATTCAGTGATTATATCAGAGAGATTGGTGGAATTAATCCTAATCATTCAGCATGGTTTACAAATAATTTTATTTAATGACGAAGAAAATACCACATGGTTGACCTAAATTTGAATCGAAGAATGATAAGTATATATCGATATGTTAATATGGGTCGTAATAATCAGCGTAAAACGATAGGTAAATTTACCGATAATCCGAAACAATATTTACAACTTTTCAATAGTAATAAATATGAACATATATATGATCCTGAGAATGATTTTATTAGAGTTATGAATAAATTCACGGGTAATATGACTGGAGTGTTCGATCATACAGAGTTGCGAGAATATTTGGAGATAAATCACCCGAGTTTATTAGCTTAAATCGTCAACCGGAAAATCTCAATTTCGACCAATCACATTACGGGTAAGATCGACACAGAAGTTGCGATAATCATTATTTTTTCGTTTATATAGGCTGGGAAATACCTCTAGCATTACACATGCTTTCACGATAAGAACCAGTGTAAAAGAAACTCGAAAAGGCATTAAGGATAATAAGGCCATTGACCCCTATCAGCTCTGTTATCAGAAAATGTTAGTTATGGACTTTATACTTTCCGCAATTCCGGATCGTCGTTGCATTAACCGACTTCGTTGCGATCGTCGAACTAAAAGGAGTTTCATTCATACGCCTATGACTCAATGCTCTGCATATTAACAGACCTTGGCATATGACAACACTTTTTACTGAAGCTGAATCGCAACTGGTTTAATTATGATTTCGGCAACAGTAAATTTCGTCATTACTAGGTTCGGAGATTCGCTCGATAAAGTTTGGATCATTTTTCCAGGAAGTTATAGATCGAGCGAATGGAAACATTATAAATAAGCAGGATTTGAGAAGACTTTGTCCTCATTCTCCCACGAATTTTCAACATCTCTAGTACTCGCATCACTAAAGGTATGTGTTATTTACAGATCTATGAAAGTGAAATTTTACTTACTTCAGATCTTTATACTTAGGAAACGAAATGGCTTTCAGTGGTGAAGAAGATAATGATATGCTTAGTCTCAACTTGAGATACCGAAATTTTCATAATAAAAATGTAACTTTTTTGATCGAAATTTCCAAGGATGAAACCGTCTCCAAACTAGAAAATGAGGTTAGAAGTAGAATATCGCTTCACTTTCCGATTAACCCTCGTCCCTACAACTTCTATCTTCAAAAAATTTACCCTGAAAATCAAGCAAAGCCTATGGAAAGGGGGGATAGGATCTTTAGTTATTTTAATGAGAATCCCTCTGAGAATTTTATTCACGTCGTGGTTCGTCCCCCATTAAATAGTTAGATTTTTTTTATTGGGCTAAGTCCGTGCATTAAATTCATGTAACAGCGACGTGTATTCGCAAATTTTATTTTTTGTATCTGCCTTACTATAGGCAATGTTTTTCGTTTCGTATTAATAAAGTAACGACGTATTAGGCGTGATCCTCGATAATAAATATATTTCTAATGCGCGACTCATGATCATCGATTTTTGCGTAACAAGGATTTCTCACATATACTAACCAATGCCCAATAATCGTCTAAAATTTTTTTCGCACCTCTTATTCTCACTTACACTAGTTTACACCAATTATATTTCACAAAAAATACTATATAAGCCGAAAACATGTCTATCACTTTGCTTTGCCTCGTCAAAGGTAATACAACCACGAATGCTTTCCCCGTCCATATTGGTGGAAACGAACTTGTTGGGGATCTCAAGGAGGCTATTAAGGAGAGTCAAAAACCATTTTTCGACGGTGTTCCAACAAAAGATATCAAGCTATGGAAGGTGACAATCCCCGACGATCAGGACGATCTCTTAAGCAATCTCACACTCAACGACGGAGACGAACTCCTTGCAACGAAAAAAATCTCGAAATACTTTCCTGACTCGCCTGCCGAGGAACATATCCATGTCATTGTTGAGCAACTACTGCTTCGAATCAAGAGGTATTAGAATTAAGGGAGAAACTTGCTTCGTTACAGGCATTGCTCAACAAGTCTGTTTATGGTACGTGTTTCAAATAATATGTATCTACTTCCAGCAAAAATTTCTATTATGGAATAGCTCTTAAGAGTGCCTTTACAAGGCATGAGCTTCGCCCTGGCAAAATTTGTTTCTGATCGTTACCATTGGTAACACATGTTATTTTTTTACTAACCAAACCTTTGTATCGCAGAGTTCGACGTTATCGTAAGTCCAAAACGGACGAAGGGATTCAAGTGGACCGTAAATATCAACCATGCAACCCTTGAAGGACTCAAAAAATCCATATATGCGATATACCAAACGTCAGCACTTGAAAATGATGGAGCAGTGTTCAACATAGTAAGTGATAGCGGGAAATACTCACCTCGAAATGACCAAGACCTTTGTGAAATGCTCCAGCTACTCGTATCAAAAAACGGTTTAAAGTTTACCGTATTCATAGAGACTCCTTCAAAAGCTTTCTCGGATTGGACACTCGGCTCGATTTGCCAACTGTATGGTCTTAGCGGTGAAACGGTGGATCCAACATTGTCTGTATTCCCGGTTTTTTCGTGTGGTAGTGTTGAACCATTACATGAATCATTTGAAAATCTTATGATCGAATTAAATTCCCGCCTCGACAACACCCCAATCAATTTACTATCGGTGGAGGCTACGAAATCTATATACGTCTATTCATATCTGCTTGCTGGAGCGAATAACTTCAAGGGAATGTTTGAGATCCGTCCACAAAAAAATATTTCTGGCCCGAATGGGCATGGTCCTGTCGACTTCGCAGTTGACTTACGCCGAACAGCAAAAACGGTGGGGGTTACGGAAGTTAAGAAAGAAGATTTCGTTAAAGGTATTGCCCAATGTGCAGTTCAACTCGAGTCGTCTTTGTCGAATCGTAAGCGAAAGGCTAGTGAGGTGGAGGAGGAACCAACCGTTGGAAAAGTTTTTGGGATAGTCACCGATGCCGAAAAATTCTACTTTATGGAATGCTCGCTGGATGAACAAGATAGACCGAAGTTCAAACTATCGAAACCGGTAATTGTTGTGTATGACGATGCTGATATGAAAGCCAAGGTAAAGAAAGTGCTTTCTCATATTATCTGGTTATTGGAGGAGGTGCAGAAAACGGCGGAGGTTTCGCAAGGTGAAAATCAATCGAAGATAGTAAAAAAGCATAAGTCATCAAGTAATCTCACAGAAGAGTCGGGTTAGATTAGACGGGTAGATAGATGTCCAAATTTACATGTATTTTAGATGCCTTAGGAGGCATCAGCTCCGCTATACTGTATTAATAAAGAAGTCAGACGTTTTTTCTCTGATAATTGTTTTTGTGCGTGTCCCTCCGAATTTATTTTTATTTTTTCTTGGCAAAAGTTATCGGCGTTACAATTTGTAACGCACATGTAGTTTTTATTTAGCATATGCGCAAGACACTCATTTCTGGAGAATCATAGAGAAATGATCTAAATTTGAACTATATGTGTGACTATTTGAAGTTAATAGATTAACGCTTGTAATTCATAGATCTTCATTTTGAATCTCTTCGCATTTCCATGCAGAAATCGAATCCGGTAGCCAAATCCAATCGCGAATTCTTGGTACAGTTACGCCATCGACTGATTCAGATAGCCTTAATTTATTAATTACACCCGTTTGAATTTCGAGCTCGCTCTGAAAATTAAGTATGAATGTTATATTGAAGTTGTACAATATCCAATGAATGTATTCAGCATGCCTACCACAAGAATATAAAGGAATTCAAAGACTGCTAAATAATCCGCCACATCAATGAATTCGAATGGGAGGGTTGCAGATTTGATCTGCGAAACTTTGTAAACATGCTTATTTATTAAGCATAATTTACTGAGCGTTAGCCGGTCGCCTAACAAGTATTTCCATATAAGATTTATGTTTTAAAATAGTTAATAAACGTAATGAATGACAAATAAGTTACCGATGCCCTGAATTATGAACGTGTATAACTGTTTCGATTCTCCCGCACTTTTGTCCAAATAATTTCGTAATAAGGAAACAAGACCAAATACGGCTTCTTTCAGAAGCTTTTCTGAATCTTCTTTTAATTTTTTTTGATCTGTGTTTTCAGGCCCACCCAATACTTCGATAAAAACGACCGCCTTGTTACTCGAATTCCGCATTCCAAGACCATCAGCTTGGTTTATAGGTAAATCAAACTTGGGGAATATCTGCTTCACTTCCCTTATACAATCCAATTCAACTTCGATCCAATGAAATTTGTATTCATTATATACCGATTGAATTGCTTTGAACAGGGGAACGATCCTTTCGACAATATACGTACGCTCACCGATATCTCTTTTTAATGGACCTTTCTTTGTCATAAAATAACTAATCGAATCATTATAAAATAACAAGCATATCAGTAATATTATGATGTCAAAAAATATGGATTCGTGAGTAAAACAACACACATACAAATCATAAAGTATAAACTCGCAAATTTGACGGAAATCATGATCTTTTGGACTTGCTTCTGAACTTAAAGGAGTCATGATAGCTTTTACAAACTCCTCTTTCGATGACTAGAGTAAAGAAATTTTAATATATACATTTTACTATCTAAAAAGAAATTAATGATAACTTACTGTTAATGCCATTATGAGCCAATTACGAATTATACTAGAGATTTCTTCCGAAGTATGATTGTCTTTTATGATCATTCCTTGATCATTTACATCTATCTTTATATGATTTTGTAGATAGGTAACGGAATCCTTAAAAAGCACCGACTTTTGAGGAGTAACCTGTATATTATTGACATTAGGCCTTGGCGGTGGAGTCCCCGGGGTTTGGATGATAGGATTTGTAACTATTAAAGTCGATAATTGATCTTGATTTACCAACGTTGGTAAATCTTGTGATATTATCACATTGTTTAGTATAGAATTTATTGCAGGCGCTGGATTGTCTTCATTCTTATTGGTCTGAATTTGCTATAATTGATGAGTTAGTATTCAACGATAAAAAAATATTATCTCCAAAGAAATCTCAATAAATGAATCCAATGTACATACGCTACTGCAATAATTTCTATGTCTCACTGTTACTTTTGATTTTGGTCGGTTTCGTTCGCTTGTCTTTTGCTAGATTATGTGTAAAGTCTTAATAATGATTTATATTATCACTTTTAAACGTCATTTTTTACCTTTTTTTTTCGATTATTGTCCGAATCAGAGGAAGTAGGACTGCTACTTGGTTCATACTAATAACAAAATATGTTACTTTGGTCACATAATATTTTGCATATTAAATAACCCATCTGATATCAACTTACATCGGATTCACTCTGTTTTCTTTTATCGGACTCCTGCTAAAAATTACATAGGCGCTTTTCAATGTTGATTTATATCCCATCTCTTACACATTGGTATTAACTTACTTTCTCTTCATGATCCATGTTTAAGAAGTCAGTTTCACTTAAATTGACATCATAATCATCGGATGTACTATTTCCGAGTCTCGTAGAACATTATCCTTCCTAAAATAAATCGCAAGAGGTATTTTATTCACAATCAGAAGATATATTTCAACTGTATGACTGAAGTGGAAGGTTAAAGATATTTTTTTTGTTAAGTTATAACCTTATCTGCATGCTTCCGATTTTGTCTCTACAAGAAAACATGACAGAGTAAGTCGATTTGTATTCCTAATCAACATATTAGATCAAAATCATTTATACCATCTTCTCCTCGACATTGGTAAGCGCCACATCAACGACTCTAGAAGATCTGTGTATGAACTTGCAAGCTACTTCCGCCTATGAATTAAACGACTTCAGTAAAAGGAAGGTTATAAATGGAATATTTGGTAAGCAACAAATCAAACCTCAGCATTATCAATCGACGTTTCATTCTCAATTTGTTGCCAAAATATGTGAACGTCTTTAAATTTCGTTCGATGTCTCTGATGCAATTATAGAGTAAATTAATATCGATATATGTTATAAAGGAAACCATTACAATCGTAAAATAGTGTAGACAGATCACAACGGGAAACCACCATAAAGCAGGTTGAACCCCCTGCCGTAGTTGTGCGAGTATGTACCCCTTCTCAGGACTGCAAATGAGACTCCTACTTCCACAATAATTGTGAAACATGACGGGAAACCACCATAAAGCGAGTTGAACCCCCCGCCGTAGCCATGGAAGTATGTTACCCCTTCTCGGGACTTCAGTAGCAAGCCTCACATCTGTCTACAACTCGTGCATCAAAGGGGAGAAAATAAACACTTGCCTCAAAAGAATTTTGCAAACGGACGGCGTTCTCTTTAACCTGAGGTGTTCTATCTTTCACCAGTGACATCAAACAACTCCAGAGATTGCCAGACTCTTCTCGAAAAGATCGGGTAAAATCATCTTGCCTCTGGCGGTACCTGTAAAAGTCTAGAAACCGAAACTTTTCAGGAGGAGTTTTTTTAAAATATTCCATGGTAAACGCGTATCAATGAAATTGGCAATTTTTCAAAATTTATTTGATAGTGCGTATCACGTGATAATCAAACATGCTTTTGAATATAACTGTATTTTTATATAAACAATGGCAAGCGCACAATCCACAATTAATTCACTGAAAGAGTTAAATCTTAAGCTCGTTCTTCAAATCGATGAACTTAGAAAGGAAAATTCTGAAGTCAAGGCTGAGAACACAAGATTGTAATTGAAGCAGGCTATAGAAGAAAATGCTATGCTTAAGATCAGATTCGAAGAACTAGAAAAGAAAAATAAAACAGATACTGTCAAGCTCACTGCCGAGAATGCAGAACTTAAAGAAAGAGTCACAAAATTAGAACAGAAGCAAACTACTATTTCTTCCGAAATAAAAGATGAGCTTAGAGGATCATTACCCATTCCATCACCTATAGGGGACCAGTCTGAAGAGGAGAAAAACATTATTCCTGATTCTATACCCGAACTAGAGCATAACTTGATGAAACCTGAATCATTAGCAGAATCTGAAATATTCGAATCTTCACTATCACAAGATACTATCAATGACGATTCAGTTGAGATTCTTGAATTTGTAGAAAAAATACATAAAGAAAATGTTAGTAATGAAATAAGGAAGAGAAATAGAAAAAAGAAACTTCAGATTCAAGGATCAGTGCAAAGCACATCTTCCTCTTCTGATATGCAAAATGAGGTAAACCCTGTTATCGATACCCATGAACATAAAACCACTAAATTAGAGTCAATATCTACTGATCAAGCACAAAATACTGGAATAAAAATTCCATATAATAAAAGGATAGAGCAAAACTTAAGGCATGACTTATCTGTATTCATTAAAGAGAATAACAATAAAGTTAGTGAAGCATTTGATATACAAATTCCTGAATTCTCGTTAGAAGTAATTGTAACAGGATCTAGCAAAATTACAGCACAAAATATAGCTGATTTGTTTATTATAGCAATGAAAATTAGACAAAAAGAGATTTTATGCTGGTATTGCTACTATAAAGCATATGAAAATCGAGTCGAGAACATTAAATGTATAAATAAAATTGATGACCAATCAGCAAGGACATTGGTATATAATGAGATAAAAGCACTTCTCCCAGATATCAGCGATGTGAATTTGCGTCAAAGAACATTCAGAGCAAAAAAGATCCATACGTTACTTATGGGAATAGGAATGGAAAAAATCCAAGCAATAGCATGTAGTGCAAGTGCAATTTCGAGTTTAACTGACAACCAGATTCAAGATATTATAAATTGTTTTCCCAAAAATTCTAGTGCAGATGTCTCTTCAGCTAAACGTCAAAAAATGATCAGCGTTACAAATCGTAACGCGCATGAGACTGAACAAACTTTACTGAAAGCAACCACTCCTTCTATCTCATTGTCTCATACCTCTAATTCGATTGATAATATAAGTGAGAAACTCGAATCTTTACCAGGGACCGAGGTAAGTATCTCAGATACTGAAGCCTCACCTAATAGTACGACTCAAATCTCTAATTCTTCAAATTTTAAGTCGGAATTCGATGCTTCAGATTCTAATTCAGAATCCTTTGATAACGACTCACTCCGTGAGGATGCTATTGCATCTGAGGATAATGAAAGTAATGACGAATTCTCCGATGACAACGAAGATAATGGCGGGTATTGCGATTTCTCTGATGATGATGAAGGTTATTATTACGATTTAAACACTGGTGAAACTTATACAAAATCGGAACATCGTTATTCAATCCGCGCATATTAGATACCCGCCTTCTCAGTCTATGACCTCGAAGCCAGATGTGTTTAGTTAATAGATAAGTAATAATAAATTCCTGAATATATAGCCACGAAGTGACTGCTTTTCAGCAAGCTAACTGTATATCTTTCTTTCGAGAGTCAAGAAAAAATCCAACATCACTTCGTGATACAGTAAACAATAAAAGTAATTTATCAGTCCAGAAATAATGTAATTTATTAATATATTTTTTGATCTGATCATTAGCGTAAGCCTGTCTTCTCATGCCTATGGCATTCGAATCCAGAAGAATTACAGGATATAGATGCCAGTGTATACATTGTGAACTGTGATGTAATAATATATTTCTTTTTTCCGAGAATCTCGATTCCATATTAGAAAACGTTTAACTACCTCCATTTGTGGCTCCATAAGGATTTTCTACACCAGGATTGTTTGTATCAATGTTTATTGCGTCGCGAGATAAAGATGGATAAGTTGAATGTCTTTGACTCCTACCAATAATAGATGGAGACCGGTTTATTCGTCTAACGGAAGGTCTCGTACCCAATACATGCTCAACTTCCTCAATAGACGGCGCCGGTATCATATTCCCCACATCTCTATTTCGTCTACGGTTAGAACTATTCATATCACGGATTCTATCGAATTCATCTTCAGGCCTCCTAAAAATGCGTACGAAATTCATCAAAATATTGTGCGCCCATTCGATTTCTTCGTGCTCTTCGATTCCCAGCCATATAATCGCACATAGCCTAATTGACGTAAATTATTAGTCATAATAGCTAAGATGTAAGCAAAAAAAAATATATACCATACGTACATTGTAATCCCGAACAAGATTCATAAACTTTTCTTTACATTGGTGTCCATTAAAGCTCGTAT